TCAGTCATGTTACTTTAATGAATGAAGGATTATGGATGAATGGATTATCAAGGAAGAATGTGCAAAGACTGTTCTTTTAGCCAAAAGAAGGGAAAAATCTCAATGGATGACTGATGAAGCTCTTAATATTGCTAAAGATAGATGAGAAGCAAAAAATAAAGGTGACAGAAACAGAATTTTAAATGCAGTGTTCCAGCAACTCATACATAGAGAGAAAGAGAACTAAGAGATGAAAGGATGACAGATTCCTTCCAAAAAGAATCTTTTGAAGAAAAATCTGCGGTTTTTGAAAGTGAAGTGAAAGCTGCACTGAAAGCAATTGGAAGAAACAAATCACCAGGAGTAGATGGGATATCATTAGAGCTGTTTCAAGCCACAGAAATGGAGTCCAACAAAATCTTAACAAGATTGTGCTGACAAATATAGAAAACAAAACGATGGCCCACAGACTAGAAAGGCTCAATTTACATTCCAGTTCTGAAAAAAGGAGATGTCAAAGACTGCAGCAACTATTGTATCATCCATCGCATTAATTTCTCATGTGAGTAGTGATGCTCAAAATCTTACAGTAAGTACTGTTACCACATATTGAATGAGAAATGCAATATGAGCAAACTGGATTCAGAAAAGGAAGAAGTAACAGAGCATATTGTAAATTTGCATTTACATACAAGAGAATTTCAGAAGAAAATCAGCTTGTGTTTCAAAGATTACAGCAAAGCTTTTGACAGTGCAAATAAACAGTGTTATCAAGGCAACGAATATGAAATCAAGCAAACTCCGGAGCACGATGGAAGATAGGAGGGCCTGGTGTGATGTGGTCCTTGGGGTCGCGAAGAGTTGGACTCGACTGTGCGACTGAACATCAACCAGTGGCGATAGAAGGACAGTATCTCATGATTTCAACTTGACACTTCAGTCTGTATGCAGAATATATCACAAGGAAAGCTAGATTAGATTTATATAAAGGTGGAGTGAATTAATGAAAAGAACATTAACAGTTTGAAATATGCAGATGACACCACATTACTTCAAGAAACCAAGGGTATGTTTTGTTGGGCTGTAGTGGTCAAGGGTCAAGAAGCGACAGACCTGGATACGGAACAATTGATTGGTTTAGCATTGGAAAAGGAGTATGACAAGGATGTATATTGTTACCTTGCTTATTTAATTTATATGCAGAGTACATCATGCGAAATGCTGGCCTGGATGAATCACAAACTAACTGTTGTATGGGATCCCAATATGGATTAGGGCCATTAACAAGGATATAGAAAAAGTTCAATCTACATTCTTGTGGAAAATACTAGGGCTCCCTTCATGTGTGTCTTATGCAGCCTTCTTTCTGGAGACCAAAGACTCCTAGAGATTGGTTCAGGCTACACACAGCTGACTCTAGTCCTCTTATTCTGCAGTTACTTGCTGAGTCTCAGTCCTCTGCCCGGTTTTGCTATAGAGAGAGGAAGATTGCACAAATATGGGGTTAGCTTTGGGGAGTTACTCCTTCTGCCAGAAAGATCAGACTTTGGTTTGATTAAACAACATTTGCTCGACATTCAACATCAAGAGTTGATTAGTCGTGTCACTGGCAGATGTTCCCCCTTGAGGGTAGGAATTCCTCCCCAAGGATCTTTTTCCTGTGTGTAACCGCTCCACATTTTCAAAGAGCTTTTATGTTAGCTCGTTTTAATGCGCTACCCTCGGCTGTATTGACTGGGTGGCATTATTAAATCCCATACAAGGACAGACTCTGTGCTTGTGGTGTCAATAAAATAAAAAGTCTGATCATATCCTTTTGCATTGTTCTTACTACGGTGATCTCTGAGCCTTGTTTTTGGAACTGTTATTGAGAGACCATGAAAATTGATCTGATGAGTGGAAGGTACTCTCTTTACTCTCCAATTGTCATGTAGTAACTCTGGAGATTGGGGTTAAATTTCTGTATTTTGCTGCCAAGAGAAGAGCTGGTATCAATAAGTGCCAATGATTATTCCTATTTTCAGGCCTGTTTGTGATTCTGCGATATGTCATTAAAGGTTGCTTTTGTTGTTGTAATCCAAAAACAATAGTAGTATATTACCCTTTTTAATAGGACAAGCCAGCATGTCATGAAACAAAATATTGTCTATATATTAATAATGAAGTTGACCAAATCTGAGGATACTGAAATCTGGTGACTGGAGCTGTGAATGGGAAAAACAGATCTTTCTATAAACCTAAACAATGTCCCGAGAGGGGCGGTTTGTGCCACGCCGATTTCAGACAGTTCCAGGAGATTCTCCCGAGGAACTGCTGAATCTCCAGGTTTTTAGTGTGGTCTGGGGCTTCCCGTACTTCACTGAGCCTTCCTGGAAGGAGGCTCATTGTAGGGAGCTTGATCCGGTGGCTGTTGCATGCGGCGGCACGTGAGTAGTCCCCAGATCGCTCCAACGTGAGAACCTAGGAAAGAGCACTCAATAGCAGCCATTGGTGGGACAAGGTAGCTGCAGCATGCACCCACTTGCCCTCCCAGCAGCCTCCTACCTTCCCTCCCTTGTACCAGTTGCTTGCAGGCCTGATAAGGGCCCTAGATGGGCCAAGGCCAGCCCGCAGGCCATATGTTTGACACCTCTGCATTATACCCTACTGGGGTTGCTTCCCTCGCCAAACCTCACCTCCCAGAACTCCACCCCCAAATCTCCAGGAATTTCCCGACCTACAGCTGGCAACCCTAGAAAAAGTTGAGAGGCTATGGGGGGCTTTCAGGAAATGGAAGGAGATAATAGGAAGGGGGAAATGAGACATCTCCCGCAAGTCTTTGCAGGTTCCCACTTGTTGCTTTAAAAAAATTTTAAAACAGCAACTGACTGTATCTTGTCCAGTGATGCATTTTTTCTCTTTAAAAATGTGTACTTGATAGTGGACAGTACTGGTAGCCTGGGAAATAAATACAGTATGTGAGTTAATCCTGTATGTTGAAAAAGATGGCATTTTCCAGAATTCCACTCAAAGCTTAAGTATACCACATAAAGTCTTCATCAGTAGTTTGTCTCTTTCCTTAAGACATAAACAAAATTACGGGCATTTATGTGACTTTGATCATTTATTGTGAAATGCAGATTTTCTTAATAGTCAGCAATGAATACTTTTGTCTAGATGTTTATTTATTAGAACAGCTTGTCTAAACGTGTTCTTTCCTTTTTTTAAATGCTTCAACTATAGTTTAGAAAATAATCCACAGAGATAGTCCGTGTATGCTGAACAATGCCGTTTTCTATGGATTTGTAGAGGAAATAATCTTTAGCTATTTTTAAAAAGAGAAATCTCTTTAAAGCTCATTAAAATACCTACTGGCTTAACAAATTCAATGTTGCAAATGCACTGTACCACCACTTCATGGGACCTGTTACAAGAAACCAAATTAGATCTTGTTATGCAAGTGTCATGTTATCTAGATTAGTTAGCACAGATATTTTTGGTGAATAATTTATGTGGTCAGGTGTATAAGAAAATGTAACAAACAACTATTTGGATATATTCTCACATATAAGATAAATTACATGTTTGGCTGGCAGCATTTGTAAATATTTTGATTGGAATCAGATTTGTACAATCTAGAGATTAAGTTTCCAATTTCCATTGATATCAAGTAATCTTTCTGCTGTTTTACAACCAGTTGTTTTTGCTATTTTGAAACCAAGTATATCAATCAATCAATCTAATTTATTGCGGCAGGAGCCAGTAAAAAACCAAGTATATTATATTGTTAAAAGTTATATTTAGAGTTTTCTAAGGAATATGTTATAATTTGTGTTCACTATGACACAGTATTCTAAGGAATATGTTATAATTTATGTTCATTATGACACAGTAATTTATACAAAGGTCTGACAGCAGGTTTGGATTCAGACACGTGGTTGGCCATGTCAGCAAAGAGAATAAAGTACTCATGCAGTCCAGCAGGGCTGCTCACTGTTATTTAAAACAAGATTTTAAGAAAAGCTTTGGCTATGTATCATTCTAGGACAGCAGTACTTACTCTGTGGCTCAAACAGGTAGTTAGCGATTATCACCAACCAAAAGAGCCTAGGAATGAGGCCAAAGTTCAGGAAGACTTGCAGCTTATCCATTCCTCTGACAGCAACCACCTGCACACTATAAGCCCCACTGGTAGGGTTGCCATCCCCCCCGGTGGTGCCAGGGGATCCCCTGATTCACAGGGGGCCCAATCCGCTGCTGGCCAGCGGGGAAGCCCCATTCCTGAACCCATGGGGATTCTGCTGATGCAATGACGTCGCCAGTAGTGATGTCATCCCACTGGGACTGTCATGTGGTGACACTCTTAGCATTTGGGGGAACTCTATGGTTACCATTGAGTTTTTGCCCTGAACACTAGAGCGTTGCCGTGCAATGACCCTAGCATGATGTCCCAGTGAGGAGCCAGGAGCCCCCTGCCACAGCAAAGGTGAGACCTGGCAACCCTACCCACTGGCCTTGCCCACTTTCCTGAAACACAAGGTAGGTGTGACAATAGGGAACAGTGCTTAGAAGAGCTGCAAATGATATATCAAAAAGCCACATGTGCCTTCTAAGCCACTGAGTTAGTATCACTGTTCTAGGACATAATTTGTGCGTATGTGGGCTCACTAGCTGAATAGCCTCCTTCATTGGTATATTGATCTTCGGGGAGCAGCACTAAAAATGGATGGTGCACAGAATGCCACACTTAAGGGATTCTCTTCAGTTACGTATGACATGTCTATAGCTCTCAGTATTCTACCAACAAATGTAACAGGCCATTCCATAAATGTTTCAAAGCACAATACTAAGTTCATAAACTGCTAAGTAGATTTCCCTTATTCTGCTCAGTAAAACATGTACTCCCAGTTATAAATTTTTATATTCATAACTGTTTGCAGATGTTTACTGTGTTTTGTTTTCTTTTACCGATGATTAGCTGTTTTTTTCTTATCTAGCCAATGCTTTTCGCTAAATTACACTTCTGCTTGATTTCTTGATAGTTTTGTCAACCTGGAGGATGGCATCTGTCCAGAGAGAGAAAGCAGCCTACGTTCTTTGTTGTGGTTTTGACGGATATAAACTCTGAACGGCACTACTGCTCTTGCCTAACTTTCTATGAGGCTGAGATCAATCTTCAGGTAAATATCTTGCAGCAGCAATGACTGGCGAAGAATTTACACAGTATTACTCAAACAATATGGAGTTGTGCTGCCCTACTAAATTTGCTACGTTTTCCTTCCACATCCCCCCGATGTGGGTGGACGTTCCCCCACTTTCAGGGGGCCCAATCCGCTGCTGGCCAGCGGGGAAGCCCCATTCCTGAACCCATGGGGATTCTGCTGATGCAATGACGTCACCAGTAGTGATGTCATCACACTGGGGCTGTCATGTGGTGACACTCTAGCATTTGGGGGAACTCTATGGTTACCATTGAGTTTTTGCCCTGAACGCTAGAGCGTTGCTGTGCGATGACCCTAGCATGATGTCCCAGTGAGGAGCCAGGAGCCCCCTGCCACAGCAAAGGTGAGACCTGGCAACCCTACCCACTGGCCTTGCCCACTTTCCTGAAACACAAGGTAGGTGTGACAATAGGGAACAGTGCTTAGAAGAGCTGCAAATGATATATCAAAAAGCCACATGTGCCTTCTAGGCCACTGAGTTAGTATCACTGTTCTAGGACATAATTTGTGCGTATGTGGGCTCACTAGCTGAATAGCCTCCTTCATTGGTATATTGATCTTCGGGGAGCAGCACTAAAAATGGATGGTGCACAGAATGCCACACTTAAGGGATTCTCTTCAGTTACGTATGACATGTCTATAGCTCTCAGTATTCTACCAACAAATGTAACAGGCCATTCCATAAATGTTTCAAAGCACAATACTAAGTTCATAAACTGCTAAGTAGATTTCCCTTATTCTGCTCAGTAAAACATGTACTCCCAGTTATAAATTTTTATATTCATAACTGTTTGCAGATGTTTACTGTGTTTTGTTTTCTTTTACCGATGATTAGCTGTTTTTTTTCTTATCTAGCCAATGCTTTTCGCTAAATTACACTTCTGCTTGATTTCTTGATAGTTTTGTCAACCTGGAGGATGGCATCTGTCCAGAGAGAGAAAGCAGCCTACGTTCTTTGTTGTGGTTTTGACGGATATAAACTCTGAACGGCACTACTGCTCTTGCCTAACTTTCTATGAGGCTGAGATCAATCTTCAGGTAAATAACTTGCAGCAGCAATGACTGGCGAAGAATTTACACAGTATTACTCAAACAATATGGAGTTGTGCTGCCCTACTAAATTTGCTACGTTTTCCTTCCACATATGCACATAACTCAAAAATCTAATTGGTTGTACAGAGATTGGTTCCTACAACTTCCCCTTCTTACATGACTGGCACTTTATTACCCTGCTGCTCAATATAAGTGTCTTTCCAACCATCCAAGCCATGTCTCATAATCTTCAGCCTAACAGATATAACCTGCTGTAATTGGGGGTTCTAAACACCATTTCTGTTTTCAGATGCCCCTGTTGGGTCAAGCCATAACTGTATTACAGCCTAACTGTGGCCTATTACTAGTAAGACATAATTATTTGTGAACCTTCTGTTGGTGCTCTGCATGGAGAAATCTGAATTAAAACCTATATTACATAAACGTGAAAGGATTTTAGTGAATTTAACAAGTTCTCTATTCCAAATGCATAATGTCTTTGCTATGTTTTTCAGTGGTGAGAAATGAAAGGGATGTTTATTCAAAATATATTTTTGTTGCTTCTTTCAGGATAACTACTGAGAGATCTTTTCATATTTTAGGTTTTTATACAAAGCGCTTCAACATGATACTTCATTTGCTCCCTTATTTGAGATTTAAGTTTTGGTTCTGTTCTTGGGTTAGTTAGTTTGTTTTCTTTTAAATAACACACTCCCTCTGCTGGATACTGGTATATTGGAATAAAACAAAACACCACAAATAAACTCTCTCTCAGATATATAAAAATATAAAGGGGGTGGAAATATAATCCATATGTTTGCAATACCTGCAAAATATACTCTGTAAATACCTTCTTTCCATGCTTTTGTGCTTAATTATTTATAATTTTGAATGTTAATTGTGTAGTAGCTAGAATATTGGACTTCGTCTGGAAAGACTTGGGCTATTTTAAAATTGCTCTGTGGTCATCTTGTAGTTATTTTCTCTCAGCGTAGCCTACCTCACTAGGCTGTTGTGATGGTAAAAAGGCAGACCATTTATGCCACCCAGAGTTTCTTGGAGGAAAGGTGGGATAAAAAGTAATGAATAAGGAACAATTTTTAATGTACTCATAGATTTATGAATATGTTCCGTCAACTGGAAATGTTACATTAAAGTTTGGGTGTAATCTTGGCTATTTCCCTTTTAAGTATGTGTCTCATTAATGTTTTGGACCACTTTAATCAGTTCAGAAATAGATACTTAAGTAATCCACTCAAATTAGAAATTTTAAATAACTTACTTATGACTTATTGTTTGGAAACCTTCTTAGGAAGAATCTAGGGACAGTGATGCAACACAAAATTGTGAAATGTTAGAATAATGTTCAGAACGGCTTCATTCCAACATTTCTTCTTGGCTAAGATCAAGTGTAGTTTCCTTCCAACATTATGCATGACAATAAGTATTCACAAGTAAAACAATGGCATGAGTTTTGCTAGCAACAGGTTTCTAAATTATGTTTCAGTTGGCTTTAGATATATAATTGTAGAAACTAATTTAAAACGTTCAAGAAAAAAAAAAGATTCATGACAAGTTTCCATATGGCTAACAATGCTAAAATAGTGAGTTAATGAGACTCAATGTTTTCAAGGGATGGTCTAACCAAAAGGAGAAAGAATACAAATGAATCACATGGAATAACTGAAGTAGTTAGTTGAAAACCTCTAGGAAGAACTGTCAGTTCTGTTGTCTTGTAGGTAAGAAGTGGATTTTTGTCATGAAGTTTCAGATCCATGGGTAAATCTTTGGGAAATGGTAAAGATTTATGTAAGCTCTAGATGTGCTGTACACTTGCACTGAGTTACCCGGATTGGTCTACGCATATGTCAGGGCCATAATGTGCAAAGGTGTTCCTGTGCTAGCATGGAGCAAACCCGTGTATTTTGGATACTTTAATATACTTGGGATGTTAAGCCTTTTGCATACCCATGTCCAGATTCAGATCAGCACTTGGAAAAATGAGTGAGGAAAGACTTTTAAACAGAAGGGGGTTTTATTTTATAAACTGAAGACATATTTTATAAAGCAAAAAATGGCAGTGGAAATTACAGAAGGGAAAAGGCAACATGGCAAATGACACACAAAAACCTTGCCCTAGAAAACTGCCTACAAGACCTAGGAGACGGCTCCTGGAGAGAAGGAGGGGGACGTTGTCTTCAGTGGTGATGGAACAGCATCAGGGGATGAAACTGACCAGGCAGGGGAAGGAGACATGGAGAAGCCAGCCGAGAAGCTGGGGTAACAGTGTGTGTTCCAAACTGGCTATGGAAAGTGAGGCTGAGGGGTAACTCTTTATTATACCCTTTTGCTGAGACTAAGGAGGGGATGGGGTGTTGGCGCTGGAATTTGAAATAATAAAAATATGATCTTTTTGTGATGAGCCCCTCCCCAAAAAGCCTTCGTCTGTATTGTAGAGGGCATTTCCCCCCCTTGTGCCTTGAGAGCATTAAAAATACTCCCTTGGGAAGGTTTGGAAGTTAGATAGGGAAGTATCTATGCTCAGGTACTTGGCATGATTGGGGAATTTGCTGGAATCGGCCCATTGCTTATTGTTTTGGACAGGGCTTTTTTTGTAGAAAAAGCCCAGCAGGAACTAATTAGCATAATAGGCCATACCCAACAGCAGAAACTCATTAGCATATTAGGCCACACCCCTGATAGCACCACTCATTAGCATATTAGGCCACACCCCCATGTTACCAGAAGTGTGGTCATCCAGCCACACTCACCTTTTGCTTCTTATTCTGTTTACCTTGTTTGTTGTCAAAACCCAGGGCTTTTTTGTAGCAGGGACTCCTTTGCATGTTAGGCCACACACCCCTAATGTAGCCAATTCTAATGCGTTTCTGCTGTTGGGTGTGGCCTGTTATGCTAATGAGCTCCTGCTGGGCGTGGCCAACTCAAGAGCCAGCCGGAACTCCATTCCTGTGCGTTCCTTCCCAAAAATAGCCCTGGTTTTGGAAATCTGGGTCATTAGTTAGGATCAAGATATCTGGGTGGAAGCTCGGAGGTCCTTGGGGGAAATGGCTGTCAACTGAATCCCTCTTAGGGGATAGAGGAGCTGCCCTGCCTTCTGCCTTAGTATGACTTTTTGATATCAGTTTAATTCAGGTTTTTTCTGTCAGCCCTAGGGCTGCACTAGGTACACATGTACAGTAAATGGGGTAACAAGTCATGCCAAAAATGGGGCTTCCTAGGGGCGAGAGCCTCAAGGCATCAGCTGCAGCATGGGATTTGTAGTCTTAAACAAATTTGGCCACTCTTCATAAACAGTTTTTAGTACAAAACTTGGTATTGCAGGTTGAGGCAAGATGGCTTAGTGCAAAAAAGTTTAAGAAAATACAATAGGAGTATTGCTGTGGCTTTTTGGTGTGCATGACAAGCTCAGTTGGAGCACTGCAGATTCAGTGTAAGTTTTTAGAAATATCCACCCACAAATTCAACTATTCTGCATCTTTTGGCTGCAGCACAGCCCATTATCTATCAATCAGTACATTTAAATAGAAAGTACACAACCTTCACCTCATGGTCCAGTCAAGATATCGCAGTTGCAATAAATCGTTGTAATTTGAGCTGCTCATGGCGTCATTGCTGTTTATTCCTTTTATTGTCTTTGTTTTACCAGTGTTGTAGTTTGTTTTAAAATGCTGTAAGAACTTGAACTTTTGGTGAAAGTGGAGCACGTATATTTGACATAAGTGGCATTTAAAAAGAGGCTGAGGAAGGACCATGCAGCTCTCTCTGCTTCTCCGCCCTGAAATACACCAATTTAAGAGTACTAGATCAAGCTTTGGGAATTATGATTCCAGATTTCTTATAACAGAAACAACTTTATTAACACTTTGTAATGCTTCATCACCATATTCCTCTTCTTTTCCGTATCGTCCTGACCTGTATCGTCAGACACTGTCTGAGCAGCGAGACTTCATCCTCCCTGGCCTGCTGCAGATACTTCTTAAATAGTCCACCCTTCCAATCTCCTCCCCTGGCGTTTCTCCCCTCTACCCTTTCACCCCACCAGAGGTGTCCTGAAGCTCTTTCTCTGCTCCAGTTGCCTCCTGGGTTGTTCCCTTTCCCTGGCAGGGCTTGGTGATGTGACTGACTCCCCTGGCTGCCAAACTCTACTACTAAACCCAGAGCCTGCAGCCCCACCCTGCCTGCCCTGGGCACAGTCTGGTCTTCCTGGTTCGGCTGCCAATTGTGTCTGGCTTGTCTCATCCAAGGTGAGTTGCCCCTGCAAGTCTGGAGTGGGTTATGTTGCCAAATCCTATTCATGTTGACTATCATGTCAAAAAAGCTGGTCTTTATTAATATTCATATGACTTGCCTATGAATTTTGTGTGTGGTTGTTACAGATCCTGCTTTTACCTCTATGGCTATACAACTAGTTATATAGAAACAAAATGATTTCCTTCCTTCGAGCGCTAGTTAGTCAGCAATATCAACATGTTCTTAGTCAAAGGAATTAGCTAGCGATCTTTTGATAGTCATGTTTTAATGAACTCTTTTTAGAACAAATGTGTTTTGTGAAGGTATTGTTGATTGTCTTATTTCCTGTTGTTGTACCCAAATATGATGAATAAACGTGACATGTTACAACATCAATTAGGGGAAGTTTTTATGTTGACATTATTTATTATATTTTTAATTAACCTGTCCATATTTAACAAAATAGCTTGTAAACCTTGTTCTCCATGACTATTAACATTTTCACAGTAACTAATACATTACTCTTGAACAGAGGCATCTTTTCTAGGAGCTTCTTTTTATTTCATAAGAACATAAGAGAAGCCAGTGTTGGATCAGGCCAATGTCCCATTCAGTCAAACACCCTGTCACACAGTGGCCAAAAATACCAAGTGCCATCGGGAGGTCCAGCAGTGGGGCCAGGACACTAGAAGCCCTCCTGCTGTTGACCCCCCCCTCCAAGCACCAAGAATACAGTGCGTCGCCCCAGACTGAGA